TTAAGGTAGGGGTTTGTGTTGAGGCTCCAAAAACTCCGGCTAGTACATTGGCAACCAGCTCCATCTAGAATCGTTAATCCTTCCACCGGAATCTTTACTCCTTTCACCAGAAGCGTCACTTCCTCCACTAGAATCGTCACTCACTCTACCAGAATCTTTACTCATCACCCTCCACCCAACGAGAATTGACTTTCCATCCGACTAATCTCGCTTCCTCCATCAGAATCGTCAATCCTTGTCCTGTCTCTCCCTCCAGCAATGTCTCGTCTTCTACCAGCCTTGTCTTGTCTCTCCCTCCAGCAAGGTCTCGTCTTCTACCAGCCTTGTCCTGTCTCTCCCTCCAGCAATGTCTCGTCTTCTACCAACCTTGTCCTGTCTCTCCCTCCAGCAATGTCTCGTCTTCTACCAGCCTTGTCCTGTCTCTCCCTCCAGCAATGTCTCGTCTTCTACCAGCCTTGTCCTGTCTCTCCCTCCAGCAATGTCTCGTCTTCTTCGTCTTCTACCAGCCTTGTCCTGTCTCTCCCTCCAGCAAGGTCTCGTCTTCTACCAGCCTTGTCCTGTCTCTCCCTCCAGCAATGTCTCGTCTTCTACCAGCCTTGTCCTGTCTCTCCCTCCAGCAAGGTCTCGTCTTCTACCAGCCTTGTCCTGTCTCTCCCTCCAGCAATGTCTCGTCTTCTACCAGCCTTGTCCTGTCTCTCCCTCCAGCAAGGTCTCGTCTTCTACCAGCCTTGTCCTGTCTCTCCCTCCAGCAATGTCTCGTCTTCTACCAGCCTTGTCCTGTCTCTCCCTCCAGCAATGTCTCGCACGACCCTTTCCCAGGGGTCGCCTAAGACCATCTGAAAACGGTTATGAAGTAGCAACGAAAATAATTTTGTGGCTGGGGCACGCCATAACATGAGGAACTGTGTCTAAAGGTCGCGGCATTAGGAAGGTTGAGAACCACTTCTCTAAAGGAACCCTGAAACCTTCCACTGGTATCCGCGTCACATCGCAGCCCGTCTGTTCCGAGAATCGTATGGTGCAGCTGCCTTGCAATTCAGAGCAGTGGTCGTTGGTGGTGTGGTGGATTCCCGGGTGGGTAACGCATCGACCGGCTCGTTGTTAGGATTAACTTATCGGCCGATTACCTTTGAGGCCTTTTTTCTTGAAGAAAGCTGTTATTTGGCGAGCTGAAGAAAACGTCCATAGCCGTGGACAAAAAATGCGTGACAATATATTCTTGGAACAACAGTCATTCCCTGACAGGGGTTTAACTACCCTAAGTAGCCAGGAGAGTGGGTAGCATTATGCAAATATGTTTAAAAAAAAGAAAAAGAAATGGCCCCCGAGTTTAAAAAGAAGTGCCAATCATACAACCATGCACCAAGGCACATTAACAATCCAGACTGTACTGACACAACTGGGAAATGACACGATTAACTTTTTAAAAAAATATGTACATAATGGTTTCGTGCGGTGTTTTTCGTGAGCACACGGCCACGACTCGGACCCGAATACTTTTTACGAAAACGCCGAGAGAGAACAGGGACTTTCGTGCAGAACATTTGCTAAAGTTTAAATAAAGCGAGACTGTTTTTCACATAAATCTGAACGAATGTAATTAATTCGAAATGATTTCATTCTTGACGATACGCTGTTCCAAAGGTGGCAATAGTGAATATAGGGAGAGTCACAAACTTCCGGAAAGGAAATTTAATGTGCTCACTGAACTTTCAAGCTTTGATCTATCCCAAGTGATCAGTGGCGTAGCTGGTGTTAGTGCCATCCCTTGCGAACCTATATTTTTGTCTCCACCTCCTCTCCCCCCCCCACCACATGACGCCCACAACGAGAAAAAAACACTCTGTAATTGGTCGAAAATAGCAGCCCTCGTTATTTAGAGACCAAGTGCAGCACGGGCGGGAACGCGCGACCCTTCATACACTAATGCTAGCAAGGACCCGTGTACTAATAATCATTGATATATTCTAAATGTTTTTAATTCCTCTATACACATTGCCGATAATGAGGTTGTCAAACATAATTATGCTGGTTGAGGTTGTCAAAGATAATTATGCTGGTTGAGGTTGCCAAAGATAATTATGCTGGTTAATCTCTTCTCCAAATTAGTATACCATTGTGACTTATTCATTTTAATTGCACTTCGGCGTCATAGATATTTTTAATTTTTAAATCTTTGAAAGATTCTTGAAATGATCGTTGCGCATTCGCTTACTGGGCGAAGTTGCTCATTCGTTCTCATTATGCCATTTCTTTCAGACTCCATTTTGAACAAGCGTGGCATTAGAGTGTCTCTTAAGTAATTAAAACTATTGATTTCCACGATGGTTTCAGAGAGAGGGTCCTCGAGATAGAGAGAAGGACCAACAAAAACAGAAATCGTTGGTAGAACTAGGGAACGCCATAAGCACTGTCGTGTGAAGAAGGGGTGATTCGTACTGGGCGGAATTTTTTTTTTTGGTGCTTGGGGGGGGGGTGGGGGGGGGGGGGGGTGGTGTGATATCTTCGGCCACCTTCATGCACTATAAATGGGTAGTGGACGATGCGTATTCCGTATGCTTTATAGTTGGTTTTTTTTCAGCCAAGGGCGGCAAAATCAAGTACTGTCCCCCGGGCGCATACAAACCCTAGCTACTCCACGGGTCTAATGGGACGGAAAGAGGGAAACAGAATAAATGAAAGAAACTGAGAAAGCGAGCTATCACCATTAAAAGAGTCAATGGGCGTGTATAAGTGCCCTTCTGATTGACAATGTTTAAGTGCCCTTAAGATTGAATGTGTTTAATTGCCCTTCTTAAAAAAAATAGTTTTTAAGTGCCCTTCTGATTGACAGTGTTTAAGTGCCCTTGTGATTGACAGTGTTTAAGTACCCTTGTGATTGACAGTGTTAAGCGCCCTTCTGAATGACAGTGTTTAAGTGCTCTTATGATCGACAGTGTTTAAGTACCCTTTTTATTGACAACGTTTAAGTGTCCTTGAGATTGACAGTGTTTAAGTGTCCAATTGATTGACAGTGTTTTAGTGCCTTCAGATAGACAGTGTTTAAGTCTCCTTCTGAATGATAGTGTTTAAGTGCCCTTCTGGTTAGCGTAAATTTTTAATTCTTTGATATAGATTTAAAACATTCACATTGCTTAAGTCACACTATTTAAATCTGAGCTGGTGCACAGTTTAAGAAAATTAAACATAAAACTCAATTAACCCTCCCTTTATTAGCACGTACCGTAAACCTCTTTTTGCAAGTGTATCTACGCAATATGGTCTCTATACTAAACATCCGCGCAGTAATTAGCAGTAAATATATTAGGGGAGAAATGGGTATTATCTTATTAGCAGAGTCGTAAGGAGTTTTCCTGTTCCAAGTAGGTTATATTGTTTTAACCTCGGCATAATGACGTGATTAATTGGATTACATTTTAGGATGATGACTGAATACTTTAATAGCGCTTGTCTCCATGCTATTTTAGCATGCTCACAGTGCTCTGATGTTCGTTAAACATAGTTCAAGAAACAGTCTTTAACTGTTTCTTAAATGATTTTTTATCATTTTCAATTTCCTTCAAAGATTGAGCCGAACTGTTTCATAATGTAGGCGCTATAGCTTCAAAAGAACGCACACCGTATGCCTTCTTTCTGTGTCCATCTCTCTACACCGGGAGCTCTCAGTAAGGACTGTGTTGAAGAGCGCAGCTTCTTTAACACTTCTTTAACACTTTAAGGATACACGTTTAGAAACAGTTCTATAAGTTATTCAGGCGTAGAGCCTTCTATACAGCTGTACGCCAGGATGACACACAAAGTTTTACGTATAAATCAATTACATGTTTTTTTTAAAATTATTTTATTTTATATAAATATTCTAATGTCCCACGCGCTTTTACAATGCAGATTTATTTCACGGAGTCAGGGGAAAAAAAAAAGAAAAAAAAAAAAAGAAAATATTACGCACCAAACGCACTCGCAAAATGTTTCTAAATAAGAATCTCATTTAGCGTTTTTTTTTAAAATTATTTTATTTTATATAAATATTCTAATGTCCCACGCGCTTTTAAAATGCAGATTTATTTCACGGAGTAAGGGGAAAAAAAAAAGAAAAAAAAAAAAAGAAAATATTACGCACCAAACGCACTCGCAAAATGTTTCTAAATAAGAATCTCATTTAGCGCAGGTATCGGGAATTTCATGACGTGAAATTAGTGTCATCATATTTCCTTCAATTTCCTCTTGGAAAAAAAACATGTTATGTCTGGGGGTCGGGGCAGACAATTTGACATTGGCAACGCGTCTAAGTGCCCAATTTCAATTCCATAGGTTGTCGGGAAATGGGTCAATTAAAGTCGTCCGAAGATTGTGCCCTAAACACACAAACAAAATCGAAGTTAATATAATGGATTTAAAAAAGTGAACCATTTCTTGAAGCTGTTATATGTTAACCAATTAAGCTGGAGTGCGTGGGTGCAGAGAGTGTTTAGAAATTTCTATAACTAATAGTGGAACATAAATCCAAGAACACCGTGGTAATTTTTCTTTTTAAAATAGCTTCATCATCTGAGCCGCTTATGTAAGAGAAAAATATAATTATGTTCGAGACTCGGATGAAGCTGCACCAAAAACATATTATTTATGAAGTTCAAAGAATCCATTCTATACTATAGGATTAGTTCCCTTCCCCCTTTTTTTTTTATTATTTTTTTTTTTTACATGTTTTGTTTTCTCGCCAAAGAAGACTTTTTTTGTTTTTGACAGCGCTTGTTTTTATATCTTAACTCTTTGTTTGGTCATGACGCAAGGCTGAGATAGTTCTAGATGCCATTTTTCTCTGCATTCACGATTACAGTTTAATGCTGCAGAAGATCGCATCACAAGAAAACAACTTTGTGCCTTAAGTAGTTTGGCATTAACATTTGTTTGTTCGTTATTTGAGGTTTTCTTGCATTCACTTGTTTTGATTTCATATCTTCAAGTAATCGAATACATACAATATTTTTTTTTTTTTTTTTAAAAAGTTCAAACTATGGATTCAACAGATATTTATCATGCCCCGAAAACCACGACGCCCAGAATCGGATACGCCCATCACGACTTCATCGCCGAGGACATCATGGCCACCAGCGAGCAGCGTCGAATCACCGAGATCGTCCTCGAGCTGACCATCGACTTTGTCATCTCACTCCTCGGGATCTTCACCAACGTCGTCATCGTGGCGGTCTTCGCCAGGCAAGGGTTCAAGGACAGCATGAGCATCTCCATGACGACCGTGGCCCTCTGGGACCTCGTCAAGAGCCTGGGCGGCTTCATGCAGAGGCTGGCCGGCCCGATGGTGCTGTTCTCCCCGGCCGCGGCCAAGAGCTGGGCCAACCTCTCGGTCATGGTCTTCAACTACCTCGTCTCCGTCACGTGCTACGTCACGAGCGTGCTGGCGGCGTACGTCGCGGTGGAGCGCTGCCTCTGCGTGACGGTGCCCTTGAAGGTCAAGTGGCTCCTCACGCCCAAGACGGCCCTGGTCGTATGCGTCGCGATATCCGTCGTCGTCTTCGGGAGCTTCTTCGTCATTTTCTTCATCTACGACGTCTACTGGGTGTACGACCCGACGTACAACGAGACGGTCGCCGTCTTCGAGTACAACTCGTTCTCGGTCAACAACACGGCGTTGTTCGGCTACTACAACATGTCTGGGACGCTTTGGCCGCTGGTCAGTCTCGTCGTTATCGTCATTTCTACAATCATCATCAGCTACAAGCTCAGGAAATCGGCCGAGTTTCGCTACCGAACTAAATCGGTGTCCGGTCCCGTCACCTCAGACTCCACGGAACGCATTCAGCCCCAAAGATACACGAAGAAAAGTGGCCAGAACCAGGCCAAAACGACGGTAATTTCGAGGAGGGATCAGCAGGTCGTCAAAATGCTGCTCGTCATCATAGGGGTGTACATCGTACATTTGGCTCCACGCGTGGCAAACTACCTGGCCAAGTACCTGGTATTCGACTACTACTACCTTCGCAAGTACCACAACCTCTTCTCCATAGTGGCCTACGTCGTGTTCGTGTTCGACTTCATCAACGGCTCGATAAATCTCTTCGTGTTTTTTGCAATGAGCACCGCCTTTAGGAGGACCGCGTTGGAGCTGCTCACCTGTCGATGCAGGTGCAAACAATTGGCCACAAAAAAGTTATTGTACTAGAAATACTTTGGTAGGATGAAATTGCATCTTGATTGTGGTAGTGTTGTGTGTGACAATTTCAGGAAAAACAATAAAAATATCCACCCATCTATTATTCTATATCTATGTATCTATCAGCTATCTCTATATATACACCATCTATCGACCCGTCCGTCCCTCCCTCCCTCCATCCATCCATCCACCCGTCCATCCATCCATCTATCGATCTATCTATCATATATTTATCTTTCAATCTATGTATCTATTATCTATCCATCCGTCTATCTATCTCTATCACTCTCTCATTTAATCAATCTATCTATCCATCTAACTATCATCTATCCATTCGTCTATCTATCATCTATCTATATATCATCTATCCATCCATCTATCTATCCATTCGTCTATCTATCATCTATCTATCATCTATCCATCCATCTATCTATCTCTTTCTCAATCAATCAATCAATCTATTTATGTATCAATCTGTCGATTAGTTAGAGAGATAATCTATCTATATGTGCATGTATATTTATATATTTAAAAAGACATACAAGAGCAAAAAATAAACCTTAGTCAGTAGGACATTGCTGAACCAAAACAAAGACAAAAAAAACAAAGGCATAAAGATATTTTACTACAGTACTATAAGAGCTTTCTAGAAAAGGAAATTTTTTCAACATAAAATTTCAATGACTGTCAAAAAAAAAAAAAAAAAAAAAAAAAAAAAAAAACAAATTTTAACAAAAAATAATAATAGACACAAAAAACAAAAAAAAAAAAAAAAATAAAACAAAGAAAAAAAAAACAAAGGCATAAAGATATTTTACTACAATACTATAAGAGCTTTCTAGAAAAGGAAATTTTTTCAACATAAAATTTCAATGACTGTCAAAAAAAAAAAAAAAAAGAAAGAATGAAACGCAGCAGATTTTATCAAGTGCTGCTGATGGCCACATAACACAAAAAAAAAAATGAACATTTTTACAACACAAAGACTGCATACACTGATGGCCACATAAGACAACCAAAAAATGAACATTTTTACTACACAAAGACTGTATACACTGATGGCCACATAATACAACCAAAAAATGAACATTTTTACTACACAAAGACTGTATACACTGATGGCCACATAAGACAACCAAAAAATGAACATTTTTACTACACAAAGACTGTATACACTGAAGAGCACAATGAAATAATTATATATAGATATTTATAAAACTTAAAACCCTCAATATTTGAATATCTTTTTATTAATTTGCTTTTAATTGTTCTAAGAGAGATATGATACACAAAGACAATCAATCTGAAATTTTCCTACAAATGATGGTAGAGGGGTCACAATGTTGACGTGTACTGCATGGCCACCAAGTGTTTGACACATTTTTTGTTATTTGAAGACCTTAGTGCTAAAAGTGCTTGAGTCACAAAATACCCATTTGAGATAATCAAGTTCAAATATTCTTTTCACGTATAAAATATGATCATTTTCATCTTTTGTCTTGGCTAAGTAAGGGACTTTGGTACATTTTAATGTGTCCAAATGTATGCAGTAAACTTGGCTAAACCAGATAAGAAAAGGTCACGGTTTAGATTTACTTTGACAAAAAATGTGACTTAAGTACTTTTAACGCTAGGTTATTATAAAAGGAGCCCCATACAGAAATGTTTACAGGACATAGAAAAAAAAAATATATAGTCATCAAATTATACATCATAAAAGATAGCTGATCCTTGATTCAAAAAAGAAGAAATTTTGGACAGACCAAAAAACAACCTTAAAAAAGAAAATATTGAACCACTTTTTGAATTATTTGTGTATTATGACATCATGACAAGGGCATTAACTTCATGTGTCTCAATCTCAAAGTTACGCAAGAGTTATAATAAATTTAAAGAATCGACATGCTTTTTATATTTAATATCAAGATTGATTACCATTTGTTTTGCTTTAGAAAATTTTTTAAGATATGAAATTGACATGCCCTTATTTAAAGACCTTTGAGTCAAATTTTTTTTCCCCCTTCCATATTTTCTAAAAAAGCAGCTACCGGTCAGTTGTGGAATAAATTTTTCAAAGTTAAACTTCAATATTTACAAATGCTCAGAGCATAAAGCCATATAAGCTAAAGGTTACCCATCAAACAGATCAACAGAAAAAAATCTAGAACAATTGTATAGTTCAATTTAAAGCTCCCCTCATAGGGCACATCTCCAAGTTTTCATTGAACAGAGTAGCAAGCCCTTGAACCATGCCTAATTTTTTTTTTTTAAATTCCGTGGCTGGTTCGCTAATTCATGTTTGTTATTTCTAAATTCAATCCGCCCATTGATATAATTTTTAAAAAAAATGTATTCTTTTAATCCAAATAATTTCTTTCCTTTCAATTCACAGTATCATCATCCAATCCATGTTTATTTAGCCAAGCCATGACTAACATCAATGATATAAAATTGGAACCCAATCTGCTCAATATCCCCCCCCCCCCCCCCCCCAAGATATTTTTGCAATATGGTCGTACCCCATAGTAAATGTCAATAAGCTAAGGATAGTTAAAAAGTATAAACACATTTAGGAAAGAAACATTTTCTAATCAGAACTAAATTGAAATAAGAACCTTTTTACAAAATTTTTTTGTCATGCTCACTTATTTTTATTATTTTAAAAAGAAATTCTTTAAAATTCTGGATAAAGTACAATTGTACAGAGAATTTTTGTTTTGTTTTTTGTAGCATCCCAGAATAAGTACACGATCAGTAAACAAACTGTACCATGATAACATAAATTTCAATTGGGTTCTTAAAGAATTTTTCTCAGGTGGTGCATTCAAAACTATTTTTTCGACATGCTGAAAAATCTTGTTGTTCTCAAGTTCTTCTTAAAGTCTTGACTCATAAATGAATCTCATCAATCTAAAATATTTAAGATTAATTTTGAATTAAATTATGAAAGCTTACACTTAGGCTAAAATTTCAAGCTAGCTTTGAGTGGCGATCAAGTAAGATTTTTAAAAAAAATTGTGCTAGGAACGTGATAAACAATCAAAATGTTTTTCAAAAAGCACTTCACAAAACACATGCTAGCATAATATATATATATATATTTTTGCTTGATGAAGTGCTGAAAGGCTGGATTCATAATTTTACTAATATTAGTCATCACTAGATTAAGTATGTAATAAGGGAATGTAAAAAAAATAGATATATTGTTCTTTTAGCTATTACCGTAACACATTTATTTCTAATTTTAATTATTTTTATTTTAATTTAGTCTTATTAGAAAGATTTTTTTAACATTTAAGTTTATTTGCAACAAATAACCACACACACAAAAAACATTATAACAAAAAAAACAAAACAACTACTTTACATTCACAAAAATTTTAAAATTCACAAAATAAACACACACAAAAAAAATCATTAAAAATAGCCAAACAATAAGTCTTTAAATAATTTAATGGCAAATGAAAAAATAATTTTAACCACCTAATTGCCATTTTGACAAGTTCTCAGGAAACATACCATAATAATCCCTTATCCCTAACAGTATAAACCAAAGAGGAATTTTTATATTTAATAAAGTAAAATTAATACAAATATAAACTTGTGACAGTTCTTTACAACTGATAATTTGAGAAAACTTAAAATGGAAATGTAGATAAAAAAAATTAATAAAGTATTTCTTAATCTGAATGAAACATGCTATCAAACACCAAGAAAGCAAAATACCAAAATCTTGTGATGCAGACGTGATACGTTTTATTTTCTCATTTATGTGAGGCTATAAGGATGAAACCTGTGCACTGTTTACATGTGACACGACACACAAATGACAGAAATGTGCAGACAGCTGAATGCACAACTTACAGGCAGCAAAATGACATATTCAATTTTTCAACAAAAAAAATTAATAAGGTTAAGTATATCAAGGAAAATAATAGGGCATGTCTGAAGAAGTAGACATATCTGTCCAAATCTATAATTTTATTTCGATATTGTTTTTAAAAATTTTGATGTACACTCATTATGCACATAGCTGTTGCTTTTTGAAAAAAAAATATGGAGAAATAAGTGGGGGAGAAATTACATTTCTCAGACATTTGTAGATGACGCTAATAAATATCAGGTTAAGTCTAAAATATGTTTGGTTTTTAGAAAACATTTTTTCTACAGTTAAGTTTTTAAAGAAACCGCAACAAAAATAGACGAGCATGGTATCATGATTATAAACAGATACAAACATTATTTTGGTAATTCTATATGTTTCCCATTTTTTTCTTCGCTTTTAACAACTTTAAAGATTGACAAGTTATAGAATCCACCAGGTTATACACATAAAATCATTCCTTACAGTTGAGTACTTTGTTTCTACTTCAAGCTCGGGCTGCTCCTCATTTTCATTTTAACAAGGTTAAAACTTCCCCACAACGGCTTCTGGCTTAGCTGAAGTCCCTGCCACTTAACACCGCTGGGGCTATCAGAGTCCAGACGTACAGGGCGATGCAGAGCCAACTGGAGGAGATCTTGACCCACACGGAGGCCATGTTGGAATTCAGGTGCTTGACATCAGATGTGGGACTGGCAAGTACAAACAAATAAAAAAAAATTCATAACTCTTAAGGCAGGTGATGGAGAGCATGATTTCTGATTACAATAGTTTTATATGCCTTGTTTACCTTCTTTCGTCTTTTCTGCTGAATGAACTTAAGCTGACCCAGTTCGGCTGCGCTATTAGGGTGTGGTGTACTAATTATAATCTCCCTTTGACCTCGGCTATAATAAGCTAAAATCTATGGTCTGTTTCATGATTTGAATTTTGTAGAATACTGTAGAAGCAGCGAGGCGCCACGATTACAATGGGTAAGTCTGGCGTCTAGAAGAATCTTAGAAAACAGACTATATAAGCTAAAAGATTGAGCGAAAGGAGGCTGAAGGCAGATGAGAAGAGAGATATTTTTGAACGTACGTATGCTATCTTTGCTAGAGAGCTTTCTTTACTGTATGTGTGTGTAGATTTCTTTTAGTCATTGTACTCTTTTTGCACATTGTGTTTCTTCAACATTGTATCTTCTTCAAAACTGTACCGGTACAAGCCA